GTCAGAGGGAGAAGCAGACTCCCTGCTGAGCAGGGAGCCTGATGCGGGACTCTATCCCGGGACTCCAGGATCATGACCTGAGCCGAAGGCAGTCGCTTAACCAACTGAGCCACCCAGGCGCCCCAGAGCATATATTTTAAATGAATGGTGTTGAAAATATAGCTTGTGGAATGTAGCTAAAACCATGTTTATGAAAAAATATATAGTGTTAAACACATTTTAGAAAAAAAGTCTAAAACTTAATTAGATAAGCATATCAGAAGTTACAGGAAGAACAAATTATCCAAACAAGAGAAAGGGAAAAAAACAGAAATTACTGAAATAGTAAAGAATCATATAGTACACTAAAGGATCCTAAGTTAATTTTTATAAAACTGACAAAAATGATGAACTCTTTGTAGGATGGATTAAGAAAGAAAACAGGTATCAGACATCAGGAATAAAAGAGCATTTTCAGATCTCATAGAACATTAAAAGATAAAAGAATATTATCAAAAAACTATATACTAAATTTTTGAAAATTTTAGATGATGTTTTAGAAAGATGTTACTAAAACTGACAAGAAGAAAATCTGAAACTTTTTTAAACCCTTTTTTTTTTTTTAAAGATTTTATTTATTTATTTGAGAGAAAGAGAGCATGCACAGGGGCAGAGGGAGAGAGAGAGAGAGAGAGAGAGAGAAGCAGACTCCCCCGATGAGCAGGGAGCCCCATGCAGGGCTCAATCCCAGGACCCTGGGGTCATGACCTGAGTCGAAAGCAGAGGCTTAACCAACTGAGCCACGCAGGCACCCTGAAAATCTGAAATTGAGATCCTAATTTAAAATTTTTCTTCACAGACAATTATCGGCCCAGATGGTTTCACCTGTGGTTCTACAAAACATTTAAGGAAAAAATAATACAATCCTTACTTCACCTCTTCCAGAGAACCAGAAAATGAGCAAACATTCTTCAAATGTTTTATGAGGCAGGCGTACCCTTGATACCAAGACCTAACAAAGACATTACAAAAAACTCACATCACTCATAAACATATATTCAAAAGAAACCCTAAACAAAATATTAGCAAATCAGATATATAATAATAAATCACTGTAAAAATTGTACAGTTAACCACGTTAACAGAAAATAGGAGAAAAGTCCTATGATCACCCAATAGAAATAGAAAAAGCACTGATGGGTGCCTGGGTGGCTCAGTCGTTAAGCGTCTGCCTTCGGCTCAGGTCATGATCCCAGGGTCCTGGGATCGAGCCCCGCATCGGGCTCCCTGCTCCGCGGGAAGACTGCTTCTCCTTCTCCCACTCCCCCTGCTTGTGTTCCTGCTCTCGCTATCCCTCTCTCTGTCA